AATCACCGAGACAAAAAATAACAAATGTTGGAGAGGTTGTGGAGAAAAGGGAACCCTCATTCACTGCTGATGGGAATGCAAACTGGTGCAGCCTCTATGGAAAACAGTATGGAGATTCCTCAAACAATTAAAAATAGAAATACCTTCTGATCCAGCTATCCCACTACTGGGTATCTATCCAAAGAACGTGAAATCAACAATCCAAAGAGGCTTATGCACCCCATGTTCATTGCAGCATTATTCACCATAGCCAAGAAGTGGAAGCAACCCAAGTGTCCCTCGACTGATGATTGGATAAAGGAGATGTGGTATATATATACTACTCAGCCATAAAAAAAGACAAAATCATCCCATTTGCAACAACATGGATGGACCTGGAGGGTATTATGTTAAGCAAAATAAGCCAGAGAAAGACAAACACCGCATGATTTCACTCATATGTGGAAGATAAACTAACACACGGACAGAAAGAAGAGGTTGGTGGTTACCTGGCGGAAGGGGTTAGAGGTGGGCACAAGGGGTGAAGGCATGCATTTATATGGTGACTGACAAACAATAATGTACAACTAAAAGTTCACAATGATATAAACTATTATGACATCAATAAAAAAAAAAGATGTGGAAAAATCAGAAACCTCATACCCTGCTGGTGGGAATGTAAAACATCGCAGCTACTTTGGAAAACGATCTGGCAGTTCCTCCTGCAGTTAACACAGAGTTACCATATGACCCCAAAATTCTACTCCTAGTTATATACCCTATTTGGCCTAGAAGTAGACCTGTTCAGAAGTCCCATTCTTGTCAAACAATTTTCATGTAGCCTTTAGTTACTGCTGAAGATGACTTTCTATTTTTGAGAAGATAACTAATCTACAAATGCCTCTCTTCTGGCAGAGAAAACCTGTCCTGGTGGAGGAAGGGAAAACGTGATGACAATATTCTAAAGAAGGAAATGCCAGCATTTAATTTGTCTGTAATCCTGTTACTAGGGCTCAGGCTGTGCGTCTTAACCAGTACATAGAAATCCAGAATGGAGCAAAGTCTTTTTTTACAGTAATATATTTTCCTTTCAGAATCATGGAGCACAAAGCATATGGAACAGTCAATTTGGTGCAATAAGGCAAGAAAAACAAATAAAAGGCATATAAATTGGAAGATAAGAAATAAAACTATCTTTATTTGCACATGAAATAATCATCTATGTAGAAAACTCTAAGGAATACACAAAAAAGCTAATAAACTAATAAGTGAGTTTAGCAAAGTTAGAGAATAAAAGGTCAATATGCAAAACTCAGTTTTGCAAGGAACAATCAGAAATTAAATGTTTTAAATACCGTTAACAATAGCATGAAAAAAAGTGAAATAGATAAATCTAATTAAAAGATGTGAGACCTATACATTGAAAATTACAAAACATTGCTGAGAGAAATTGAAGAAGACCTAAATAAACAGAGGGATATATATGTTCATCAATTAGAAGACTCAATATTGTTAAGATGACAATTCTCAAATTGATCCATAAGCTCAACACAATTCCAATAAAAATCCCAGCAGCCTTTTTTGTACAAATTGGCAAGCTGATGCCAACATTTACACGGAAGACAAAGTACCTAGCATAACCAAACAAATTTGAAAAAGAAGAACAAAGTTGAGGAAGTTACACTATCTGATTCAAAGACTTATTATAAAGCTAAAAGTAATCAAGACAGTACGGTATTGGTATAAAAATAGACAAAGAGATCAGTGGAAGAGAATCAAGACTGAAGAAACAGACCCACCATAACAGAAGACTGATTTTCAACAAAGGTACAAAGTCAAGAAAGAATAATCTTTTTAAAAAACGGTGCTGGAACAACAGCTATGCATATGCAAAAAATTTAACTTTGAGCCATATATTCTTGATACAAAAATTAATACAAAGAACATCATAGACCTAAATATAAAACCCAAAACTTATAAAGCTTCTACAGGAAAAGACAGGAGATTATCTTTGTGACTTTGGGTTAGGCAAACTTAGATCTAACACCAAAAGCAAGCATGATCCAAAAAAACCTGATAAATTGGACTTATCAAAATGTAAAACTTCTGTTCCTCAAAAGACATTATGAAGAAAATAAACGGACAGCCACACATTGGGAAAAATGTATGCAAAACATATCTGACAAAGAATTTGTATTTAGAATATATTAAGAACTCTTACAACTCAATAATAAGACAAACATCCCAATTAATTTTTAAATGAGCAAAATATTTGAACAGACTCTTCATCAAAAAAGACGTATGAATGGCAAATGAGAGCATGAAAAAGGTGCTCAACATCATTAGTCATTAGTCCTTAATAAAATGCAAATTAAAACCACAATAAGATATCACTGCATACCCACTAGAATGGTTACAGTTAAAAAAGACTGACTGACTATACCAAGTCTTGCAAGGATGTGGGTAAACTGGAATCCTAACACACTGCTGGTGGTACCACTACACTGGAAAACAGTTTGGCAATTTCTTTAAAAGTTAAACATACACCTATCATGTGACCCAGCGTTCCACTCCTATTAACCAGTAGAAATTAAAACAAGTGTTCACACAAAAACTTGTACAGTAATGTTCCTGACAGCTTTCTTCGTAATCACCAATAACTAAAAACAATCCAAATACCCCAAAATGTGGTATATCCATAAAATGGATTACTACCAAACAATAAAAGGTAACAAACTATTGATACACAAAAAAATTATGGATGAGTCTCAAAATAATTACACTGAGTGAAAGACCCCAGACAAAAAAGAGTACATAGTATGATTACATTTGTATACACAAGTGTAGAGAATGCAAATAATACACAGTGATAGAAAGCAGATCAGTGGTTGCCTCAGTCCTGGGGTCAAGGGAGGTGCTGAGGGAGGGAGGGATTACAAAGGCGCATGAGAAAAATGTTTGAGGTGATTGATAAATTCATTATTTCAATTGTAGTGATGATTTCAAGGGTAAACACACTTGTCAAAATGAATCAAACTGCATACTTTAAATATGTGCAGTTTAAAATCCATCAAGGTACACCTTAATAAAGCTATATTTTAAAAGGCCCAACTATTAACATGATTTAAAAAAAAAGAGGGAGGATACTATTAATTACATTCTACTCAAAGCACCCTAAATATCTACTTAATTTTATGAATCAATAGTTAAATGCAGTTGCTTCTTGCTTAAATGGAGAATTTTTCAAATTTGTTACGCGAACTAGCAATTGATGCCAAATTCTCTATGAAAGAAAAATTGGCAAACCATTAGATTGAATTAGGTCGGTGGGAAGAGCTAAGATCCTTGGTTGGACATTGAGTAGATCTCCCCCTCCAATTTCCAAACATTTGGCTCTAAAGGCATAATCCAATTATCTCTTCAAAATCAAGACCTATGTTGAAATATCCATTTTTCATTATTTTCAAAAACATAACAATTGAAATATTTCCCTTTACCATAACAGTAACAGCTATACAACACTGTTACAATCTTGATGTGCTGAGCCAATCCTTTCAGCTTGATGAGGTCCCTTTCCAACGATCCCATTCATAGCATCTATATTTTAAAGTCAATTATTCTAAGAATACTTTATTTTTCTTTTTGTTGGCTTCTTTTTCAATAGTATCTCTTGAATTTATAAACACAAGAGCAAAGCAATTAAAAGGCATAACCACATTCCTTAAATGACTGCTTATTTCCTCTTCGCTGTTTAACCAGCAACTGTCTAGATATTCTGATCTATTTTTAAATAATACAAAGTAAAAATCCAGGTAGGAGAAATCCTATTTTGATAAATTAAAAGTTGTCATTCTCATTCATCTTCAGTTCCTTTATTCTCTTCCCACTCTCCTCAGAATTTGCCACTTCTGGCATATGCCCTGTACACACAAAAGGCCAGGTCAATCGATTTTCATTTAAAAAGTAAAAGGAAACCTTATTGCTTAGTAATGTTTGATAGCCCCCAAATACAATCAAGATATACATAAACATACTCCAAAAAAAAAAAGATGCTAATACACTGTGCCACTTCAACAAACAAAAAAATCAAATAAAAAGACTTGCTTTGGTGAGGGAGGAAGAGAAGAAAGACAAGATAGAGGAAAATAAAGAAGGAGAAGATAAAGTTGCAGCTCAGACTGAAGGTTCCTATAGCCCAGGGTCTGGAAAGTAGTAAGTGCTCAACAAACATTTTTTGAGTAAACGCATGAAGGAACCAGCCTGATTTCACTATCATTCCATCATCTATCTTGACTTCAGTTTACTAGCATCACATCCAGATTATGGCTTTTTATTGGCTCTCGAGCAGCAAAAAGCAAAGTTTGGGAATCCTCCAAATATCCAAGGGACATACTATGGTCAGTTAAGCAAATTTGGTTAGTAAATATAAGAAACAGAGCATGAATTCACAAAATGAAAAGATCAAGGATAATATTGTTTAACTAAAAATAAAATCAAATCCTAGTTTTGGTGCTTTAGGGTTCATTGTGAGAAGTGCCATCATTTTAGATGTAAAAAGTTTTATGCGTACCAACTAGAGAGTAACAAGCATGAATCTGTAGAATGTCTAAACTATAAAATACAGAAATTGATGTTTTCATGTATATAAAATAACTAATTAGCCAAATAGGTAAGTAAACCTTGGTAAATATATTTTGTGGGTATATTTAGGCAATATATAATATACTAGGTAATGAAGAAGTAAAAATTTTAATTAATTTACCCAGTAACATAAACAGGTATTTTTGACGTGCTTAAAAGATTTAAACCATTTTCTCTCTTAAAATAATGTAAACTTTCTTCTGAAGCTATATGACTATTATACTCTTAGCAAGTCATTTTTCCATAGCTAGTAGAAAGATAATGTTTGGCTCAGTCTCTGTCCAAATTAACACAAACTTCGAATTATAATGAGATAGAACAAATGCCTTAGAACTGTTTGAATTTCATCATGGAGCCCAAGGGTTTGGGTGTTTGCTTACCTCGGACTTGAAAATATTTCACATGGTTTGCCACAGCCTCTGAAACACTTTCATCTGGGCAGATTTTCACACCATTAGGAAACAGAGATCGCCTTCTTCTGAGCAACCACTGTCTCTCGGCTTCTCTGTGGTCCAGAGGTCCTCTCTTTTCAGTTGATAGAGAAGGGTCTGTGGATTCCGAGTCAGTCAGGAGAAAAGAAACTGCACTCCTGGGTTCTTGGATCTCTTCTGAAGGTAAGTAGGTTTGTGCTACAGAGTGAAAGTATAAACAAGGCTTCTGATGATGAATGAGGATACAGCATGAAAGGTAATAAACAAAAACTACATTTGTGCCATTTGGATTTTGCAGATTATAGACATGCACGCCTAAGGAGAGGAGGAGTGAAGCGTTCAATCTTTTCTCCATTTAATTCCTGCTCCTTTATTTCAAGATCGTTAGCTATCGCATCAAGTGTATATCCAACGTCAGCACAAGAAATAAGAGGAAGTAAGGTTTGAACCAGGAAATACTAATGAAGAGAAAAACCAATTATTGGGGAGATTTTAAGACAGTTTAAATGAAGCAATATCAAAGAGTAATATAGTATTTGATTCAATTTCTTACAGTAGTCATATCAAATAATGTTATTTTTAGAGAGACTATACTACAGATACAAAGAAAGATAAAATCAATATAGATTTTTAAATACCTGTTAATGATGGAAGGTTTCCTTCTATCAGGACAAATATCAAAATACCCAGAGAAATCTTCCCAAAATGAGGAAACATAATCATCTAGGCCAAAATCAAAGGAATGAGGAGAGGCCAAAATCCTTAATTGAGCACCCAAATCCTTGAAACTTCCAACAACAAATTGTTTCAGGAAAGGTCTAACATTTAAAAGTTTGAGAATTGACAACCATTCCAAAACCATTATAAATTAGCTTAAATAAAAATGGTGTCCTTTCAAAGGACCTCTCTCACTTCCTTTCTGAAATAACCAGCATGCTATGAAGGCGGGAGAGATAAGCTAATTAGAACAGATGGGGAGAGACAATTTCTTTAATCTAGCCAGCTAAGCTCTTTACTAACACTCTCCTTGCCTTTAAAAAGCAGTCCACTTAAAAATAGTATGTTTCACTTACAATTCACTGAGTTTTACACTTTTTCTGAATCTATTACTCGAACTTGATAGATTCACATGTTCTCTGGGTTCTTCTAGGGCCTATGATTTGTGAGCATAAAATGCCCAAACTGACTATACCTATCTACTTCAGAAATACCGAGCTACGTACAAAACCAGTTTTCTCGGAGTTGTTTCTCTTTGTAATAACGCTACTGTCTTCTAAATTTCCTTCCTTGATAAAAAATTTGAAAATCTTTCACTATAACAACTTACCATGTCTTCTTCCCTATCTATAAAATGAGATAGGAATAGTAAAGCTAACTCATGGTAGAGCTGTTGTGAAGATTAGTTAAATGCTTAGAATAGTGCCTGGCACTCACTAAGCATACAATATAAATGAAAGCTATGTGACAATAACTGCATTGCTTAATTTGCTATGAGACGGGAGGCCCAATGAGTTTATCCACATAAGGAACTCCTAACCAAGAAAGGATATCCTTTACCACAATGGGACCAGATAAAATTCTTTGTAATAGGGCAGTTGTTGTTATCAAATAAACCTAGTAGAAAGCAATTAAAGTAGTCAAAATCCCTGTGGAAGCTAGGATTTACTATCAAATAGCAATGAATTTATATCTTATGTCATGTACCTCTGGGGAAGTTCTCTGAAAAAAAAAATATTTTGTAAAGATCTAAAGCACATTTCTCTTCAGAATCCTAAACTAGTCCTGACCCTGATTTCTCTAGCCCCCAAAAAGGATGCACTCAGTTGTAAGAGAAGAGACCACCTGGGCAGGTACAGACCACACCAGCGTAAGGAAGCCTCTTCCACACAGAACCATGTTTTTTGTTTTTTTTGCTGAGGAAGATTCACCTTGAGCTAACATCTGTGCCAATCTTCCTCTATTTCGTATGTGGGTCGCCACCACAGCATGGCCGCCACCAAGTGGTGTAGGTCCACGCCTGGGAACCAAACTCAGCGTGCTGAACTTAACCACTAGGCCATAGGACCGGCCCCAGAACACGTGTTTTAACAGCCTCTGGGCAGTTCCCAAATTTCCCCAAGGACAAGGTCAGTTACAAGGGACTACAGAGGGAAACAAGGGCCTGGTCTTCCAGCAGGATTTGATACGGAGCTGGTCAAGCAGGCCCGCAGAGTATGCACGTCCACTCACAGTTCTCCCAGCCCAGGCACAGCCCAATAATTAGACGTTGTTTTCACAATAAAAAAAATATAGGATACAGATGACATTCCACATTTATCTTAGCTTCGTACGTTTCCAAAGAAACAGCACTGAAAGAAAGAAAACCCAAGATAATTTCCTGTGAAGAAAGGGCTTACACTTGGCGTTAAGCCAAAAGTAATTAAAGCATAAATGAATGATTTTATGACTAAAAAGTGGGTGATAATAGTGGGAAGATGAGGACAGAATTTAGATTGGAACCAGATTAGAAAAGGGCTCTGTATAACAAGTCTAGACCTATTCTTCCCCTGAACATAAAAAGAAAAGAAGTTGATTTTAAGAGGTATTAAACTAAGTCCTAGTTAAGTGATTGGATATCACTTAAAAAAAAAAAACTACCTTTTTTTTTTAATCCCAAGAGTTGTGAATTAAAAATAGTATTATCTTCTCTAGTAAGGCTTTCCCTATCCACCAACAACCCTCTTACTGCCTCCCTACCACCTCTCACTACCACACACACACACACACACACACACAGGCTGAACTTCCTCCTGTGCTGTCAAAGAAACTCTATGATTGTTTTTACCAGAGAATATTAAAAATGTTCATATGTCCATTTCTCCCATTAAACCATAAATGACTCAGGAATAGGAGCTGTCGTTCAATTTTTTGTACCTAGCAAATTGCCTCCTATGAGTAGATGCTCAAAAAATGTTCCCTGAACTGACAACCAAATTAACTATATGCCTGTTAAAATAGGAAGAAAAATTAACCTAAGCATCAGTTATATGATTTGCACTGGGTATCATACAATTTAAAATTTATTTCTAAGAATGGCTTACTTTTCTTAAGAAAAAAATTACACTTCAATTTAATGAATTGGAAAGGTTTAATATAAAATGTTGATATTCTCAAAGCATTATTTCCACATGATTTTAGGAAAATGAATTTTAAACAATCTTCAAAACATGATAAAGGACAGTGGTATTTTTGAAAAACATACAAAAAAAAAGTTAAGAAGTCAGAAGAAGGTGTAATATATACTTGCTTTCCCAAAATTAGATTTACAAAATAATTAATAGTCATCTAAAAAACTCCCCTCCTACACACACGCAAATTGGAAATGAAACATGTAATTACAACTATCTTTATAGGAAATCTCCAGAAGGCAAAGATCTTTAACAATATAAAGATGGTGACAAGATTAACAAAAACTTAAAGACACTGAGGCTTAACTGACCCCCTCAATTCACATGATTTTGAAATAAAATGTTCCAACTTTTAGCTTTATCTTAAACTGCCTTTGCTTCACTGCTTTATACACAGTTACACTGTAAGTCCAGGAGGATGCTTAAAACAAAGGATTAAAACAATATTCTTAGAAAACATTTTTCTTATCTAAGAAAATACAATATAATTGTCCCCTCAAAATATTCCTGATAACATTAGAAGGTTGTGAAGTATTTAATCACATATAATACCACCATGATCACATGAATTCAAAACTGTTACCTGCACATATGCTCCATGGGGATCATAAGTCTCTAAAAACTACAATTTAAAAATATAAAACCAATGAGAGCGATCTGGCTTTGCAGATGAATACTGGATACACAAAGCTATAAAATTATATATTGAGTTCTAATAATTAATAAATAAGACTTTGAGGGTATTTTTTTAATTAAAGTTATGAGGACACCAATTTTTCTTCTATACTTAACAGAAACCGTGTACATATATTCTGGGAAATCAGGATAGGATAGGAGTCAATATTTATATAGCTATACCTCAAATAAACTAAGTTGAGCTATATATGTAATTTTTAAAAACCTATTTTGGATAGCTAAAATTTTTTTGTTCCAAATTTCACTCTGAATGAATGAACTAAATTCTCAGATCCCCACATATGACATGAAAATAAACGGAAAGCAAATAACAATCAGAGCAGAGTAACAGTTCCATTTAGCAATTGAGAAAAATGAGCTGCGCTTTGAAAGAGTGAATTTTTATCATCTTCCTAACATGATGTCTTCTTTTACACTATACAGAAGGGATGCCGTAAATGGCATTTTCTGAAGCCTTCGTACTAAATTATTTTTAAAAAAAATACACAGTATTCATACTGCATGCTTGAGCTGCAAAGAATAGAATTACAATATAAAGTGACTTGTCAACAAACTTGACAAGCACTGGAGCTGGCACCAGGGAGGACCTAACTGCCCTCCACTCCCAGTTATGTGGAAGTACTGATCACAACGTTTCCTTATCTACAAAAACATTCCCACATTACATATGTAATTGCATAATCCAAGCATATTTAATCATAAAAATATCAAATATTTATGAAATCTTAATTTCTATCTAATAAGTTTATCTATATCACTCCCATTTCCACTCCATCTATGAGATCCCAACGACTCTAATAATATGTCTTATATAGTTTAAATAATATACAATGACTTATAAAACTACTGCAAGTTATTTTCTTCTCTGTGAGCTGGCTGACACAAATGCCGGTAAGCGGCTTTCCAGTAATCGTATGGAACATCTGTGTCACGGCTGTACAGATTAACTAGCTACTGCTGCCCTTCTGTTGCTGTAAATGAAGTTTCAAAATGAGCTCTCGAATATCTTCCCTTTTGGTCTTTATTACATGACGAGGAAACCACTTCTCCAAATGAATTGGAAGTTCAAAGTTAACAATAGGATCCTAATGAGAGAAAAGAAAAAAACACAATCACCTTAGTAGTATAATTCAAATTTGTTTTAATTTCATTTTTACAAGAAATGAGAAACTGCTAACTTTTTTTAAATAACAGCTTTACTGAGATATCATTCACATACCATACTATTCACCTAAAGTATTCAACTGAATGGTTTTTAGTATATTCAGAGTTGTGCAACCATCACCACAATCAATTTTAGAACATTTCATTAAGTTGCTAATTTATGAACACCAAAATTAATACTGTTTGTTCTGCTACAACGTATGTTTATGTGAATTAGTGCAAACAGAATTAGTAAACAGAGAATGATTCAGTACAATGCAAAAGCCTGGTTGGTTTGAACATAACTTTTTACAAGTTAATATTTTGAAACTATTAAAAAACAAAAAGAAAGCCTTAGCAGTAAATGAAGAATTTCAGATAAAAAACAGAAAATCCTGCAGAAGTG